AATTAATGTTATAACTTTGAAGTTTATCTGGAAAGTATAGTATTCAATTTATAAAGAATTTCAATATTTTCTCCCTTCATATAAAAACATTTTCAAATATGCCGAGACATTCACAGACTAATACAAGGATCACCTACACCTGGACCCCTCAGAGTCAGCAACCATCATCATCTTGCAACATTTCTGTGTGAAATACATTTGAAAGTAAACTAAAGACATTATGGCCCTTCACTTCCAAAATTCCAGCACTCATCCGTGAAGAATAAGGACAGTCTACATAATCCCAAAACTGTCATCATACCTAGGAAAATGAGTAATAATTCTAAAATAATACCAAGTACCCAGTTCACATTTAAATTTCTTCAATTGTTCCCAAGATATCTCATACTTTTTTAATAAACATGCTCTGATTTCTTTAAAGAAACCAGGTAATGAATCTATTTTGTTCTTTTAATATGTGATACTTTTAAAAAAAAATCTTTTGTTACACTATTTCCCATCAGCTGAAGGTTAGGTGCCGTGCCTTGAACAGATTCAAGGATGAGAACAGTTCAAGGGTAACACTATAAACTTCACACTGTTTGTTCACAACAGCAGTCAAATAACATCTCGTCTCACCGTTAAGGATGCTGAGCTGACACTGCCCAGGCCCCATGACAAGCCAAAAGGACCCAGAAACTGAGTACCCCACCCACAGCTGAGGCTGAAGCCCACTGGGCCCTACAATGAGCCCAGAACCAATTGCCCCCAACCAGCCCTGGGTTCTCCAAGCCCGAGGCAACAGAGGTGACACCAGACCAACACCCAGGAGGAGAGTTTCACTTCAGGACTATGTAAGTTACTCTTCTCTCATTGCTGAGACAATGCACCCAACACCCAAAGTTAAAGGGGAAAGGGTTTATTTGCTCACAGTTTCTAGGGGTTTCAGTCCCTAATCGGTTGGCTCCAAGGCCAGGAAGGCAAACAGGCACTGAAGAGGAGAAACAACATGGCGCTCACAAGGCAGTTACGGTAACAACAAACCTTAACAGCATCTCTCGGCCCTTTTCTCTCATTCAGACTACTTCAGGCAGGTAGCACTCATACCTGTAATCCTAGTGCCTGTAGGCCTAGCCCCACCATGAATCACTCACACTCTAGATTCAGCCACCTAGAAAAAACATGAGGCTTTGGGGGGACATCTAAACACAAGCCATATCAAGGACTGAAGTGATACCCAACCACAGAGACAGGTGAGAGGCAGCCTTGGGAGTTAAGGTTAGAGAGGGTGACAGCTAAATAAGGATCTCCTGGGAGGCCCAGGCTTAGAGCAGGAAGATCATGGGCTTCTATTCTGCTATGGGAGGCCAGGTTCGATGGCAGTACAGTCAACAGGGTGGTACTGCAGAAGGCATTTAACAAGTGTATGTTAGTGCTCTGGCATCGATGCCTAAATCCAGCAGATATGAATGGTCTTAACTACTGTAGGTCAGTACAAGGGTGGCCTAATTGTACTCATTTAAATCATAATCCTCTTTGTTTTGATTAAGGGCTATTCATGACTGGTTCCTAGAGTTTTGTCAATATCCAGTTGAAATCTGATGCCACTGTCACTGCATTTACTACTACAGACAGGGTGATAGTGTCTGGCAACTGGTTTTCTCTCTATGCCCAGATCTGGATTGCCTGGGTGTTATAAACAATACTGTGGTTCATTCCTCCAAAACAGGCCATTGGGCCAAAGGATTTGCATACTCCAGCATAAAAACAAAACAAAAAAACAGAATCATGAAAAGACAAGACAACAAAATGCCTCCAAAACCTCCCAACCCCACCACAACTGGTTCATGGGCATTAAAGGCGAGGAAATCATCAACTACACAGCAGATAGGTGTGAAATGATACCAATGGAGGTAAAACAGTTCAATAAGGTTTTTTCGTGAATTTAAAGAAGAGATAACGAATCAGATTAATATAGGCTTCTCTTATATGAGAAATCCAAAATATAAATATTTAAAGAGCAAAATCAAAGCAAGGCAGTAGCAAACAGACTTTATAGGTATAGGATGAGGATAGGACAAGCGGGCAGAGGAGAGCGGGGAGTAAAAATGATCAAGGTTATACGTACATCAGCTCACCAAGATGGATTCAATTATTACGTACTGCACACGTGAATAATAACGAATTCAAAAGATGTTTAGTATATATATATATATGCAAAAGCGAATCCAGGCTATTTCACTTCTCTGACCTCTTCCGACATTTCTTCCTCATTCACTTTTTTGCAACACTCTCTTTCCTGTTAACGTTTGTCTCCCCCGTTCTGGGAGTTAGTTTTGCTAACCCATCATCCATTTCCCTCTATTATCCCAACAATTCTGAAAGTGCATTCTAGAAACCTTCCCTGAATTTAAATACACTGATCAAAGTCCAACTTGGGTTTTTCAATTCCAAGTTTACAGCCTAAGTATTAGACTGTGCCATAAAGACAAGGACTATCTCAGTTAAATTTATTTTTTACATGACTTCTCATAACAACATGTAAATGTAGGTGCCTACTGTTAAATATTAGCTTGCAAGCTTCAATACCTAAACTCTGCAACTAGTAAGAGCACTCCTGGTGAGTAGAGCATTAGACAGCATATGTGCAGTTCTTTGTTGTTTGGTTTCTGCCTTTCATTTAAAATCCACCTCTTCCTCCTGGCTGTGACCATGTCTTCAAATCAGTCACAGCAACGAAGTACAAATGCTTTCAACCATCTTTGCAGAATGCATCTATATACTATTGAGTATCTGCCACCAATGCATTTTTAAAATGCTCGGTTCACCCTAATAGCACAAATTAAATGGGCAATCATAAGCATTCAACATTTCTCATGCACAGGAAGACAAAGATATGCTGAGAATGTTTCCTGAGAAAAGGTCTTATTTTGAAGCTGTGTGTTGGCCACCACATATGCAAAATGAATTAAGAATTGAGATCACCGTCTGGATCATTCAGACCGAAAGTCAGAGAAGTCTCCAGATAAGACAAAAGTATTCTACCAAGTTTGGATATTTGGGTAACTCCACCAATTCCCCAATTCATGTCTATTACATAGCCCAGTTTAGGGTTACAAGCAAATAATTTGCTCTCATTTTCTCTAGTTGGCAAACGTCTGCCTAATATTGTAGAAAAATAAGCTTGTTATGCCTCATTTTCTTTCATTTTATCATCTGTATTTCAACTTGGAAACTGAGGAGAAAGGCACTGGGCACACAGTTTTAAAAGGATCTGCTTTTTCCTTTCTCCATGACTAAGTTATGCTGGAATGAATAAACAATGCAAACAGCACCAAATACATCTTCCTTCTCCAAGGCTGGTTTGGGGCAAAACTATGAAATGTACAAAGTCTATCATCAGCCTCACTGTTCCTATGAAAACTTGCTCTTGGCACAAAAATCCAGTCTGTCCTTCTAAACTAAATTTAAAATAATGATGTTCCTTTCTCACAAAGCATTTACTAATCTGGACCTCAGCAGAGCAATGAAAAGCTGTATCAGCTGCCAGCATTTCCGGTATTCACAACCAGATAAAGGTTGAATGTGGACGATCCAGGGTCTCTTGGTGTCACTGAAGTTACATGACATAAATACCCACCTGCTTTGACTATTTTTAAGTTTGACTATATTTATATTATCAGTATCCTCTAAGCTAATATTTGCATAGTTCCATGACATTTGCAAAGATGGGCTCGCATTAATTATCTTCTTTAATCTTAACAAAATCCATATTCTTGTCTCAACTTTGCAGATTAGAAAGTTGGTTCCCTGCCACCAAGTGCTGGGCTGTAAGCTCTAACCAAGATCTCCTAATTCCCCATGATGCTCTCTGCACTCCCATGCACACTGCCTGCCATTGAGAGTCACAAACCAATTTCCTCTTGTCCTAGAACAGTGGTGGTGAACCTAGAACAGATGCTGCGATGTTATCACTGGAAGCTCTAACAGGTTTGCCATCACTGTCCTAGAAGGGTGGTAATAATACTACACTGAATTTCTCAGTACCTAAAAGTGTTTTTCAGGTTTTTTAAAGTGGTAACAATAGATTCTACTATCCTCAAGCATGTTTTTTTCCTCTCTCCCTTTCTGTCTCTACGCCCACCCTATTCCCACATAAACAGCCCCTTGCATTTCTCTCAGTATTTTGGAATACTCAATAAACAACAAAAACCCATGCCTACCCTTTGTACAGAATAAACAAACCACAACCAAAAACAGGAGAAGCACAGGACAACTCTGTATCCTTATTGCGTAATTTTGAAGTGGCTGGAGTACAGACACCAAATTTTTTATGCTGCCTTCCCTATGCATGTTCACTAATGAGCTTTAAAGAAAACTTAGTCTTTCTCTCAATTTCTGATATAAACATAGGCCTAAAGTTACAGCAAAGCCAATGATATTTAAAATGCACTTCAAAGAATGCATGCATGCCATTTTAGTTATGCACATTTATATGAAAATGCAAGATGACAATGAACTGTTATTGCACAATGGGTTCAAAACTTAACTATATCTACGAACTTGTAAATTATCATAAAAGACAAATATATGCAAACATCTTTATAGAGTATCTTGTTCCTGACACATTTTTATACACAAATCACCCTAAATGAAAAAATATAAACAGTCTATCTTGGACTTTTAGCAACATTTCCAGAATTTCACTTAAAATTATTCTTCCCATCACAGATCAGGAAGTTCCTTCTATGAAGGGCCGCACAGTAAATATTTTCAGGTTTGTAGACCAAATGATATCATCAGAACCATTTCAGGACCATTGTCATAGCATGAGAGTGGGCACAGACAATATCAACATAAATATGGCTTTTCCAATTATGTTTTTCTTGTAAAAATTGGTCCACAGGCCATAATGCGACAACCTCTTCTACAGGACATCTTGTTCACCCAGTCTGATGTTTTAACTGGAAGGGCAAGACCTGCAGAACACTTCACTAAATGAGCTGGGGACTGCTGCTTACCTGTGAGCCAATGGTTTCCTGGAAGCAGCGGCCAAGCTGCGTTTTAGCAGCCACAGGATAGACGTGTGGAAGGACCTGCTGGTGGGAGTACGTGGAATGCACAGTCTGGGTCTTCTGGACGGGAAGCCCTTGATAAGAAACTTGGGTTTGGCCTGGCAGAGACTCTTTTACTTTCTGGCCTGTTGGGCCATCGATTCTTGACACCTGATGTATCTGGACAGAAGCCTCAGGAGGATGTTTCACATGGATATTGACGATGTTGGGAGGAAATTTCACTAGAACAGATTGGGAGGAAAACTTATTAGATGTGAATAATTAAAAGGCAAGTAGTTAAGATTTTTAAAGAAGAAAGTAAATTTGATTTACACATTTATATACACAGACACATTACACATCCATATACTGTTTTGCTGCACAGCTATCAGAATTCTTGAAAATCAAAATGTATATCCAAAATGACAAACCTACATTTATAGCTTTAAACAACTGCAATTATAAAGATACCAAAACCTCTAACAATAATGACACAAAAATATTTTTAGTAGGATCATAAAAACTATGACATCTATACCATGTGTTGCCATAGGTGGGTACAATTTATCAAATGATAATAAGGCTCAAGGGTTTTAATTTCTCATAAAATTTCTGTTGTCAAAATTTTAGGGTTTACATTTTTCCACTGAAAATATAAATTCAGTTTCATAAAGCATAATTTTCTTAATACAGTACGCATGTATTTTTGTGCTGCTGACACACATACACACAAAACCATCAAAGCATGTAATTTTGTGCATGTATAACAAAATTTACTTTCTGCTCCCTTAAAACAAAATATCGTCTTCTGTTGCAAAGATTCCAGGTTTGAAGAATAAGAGCTAGTCATATGCTCTGACCTCCTTTTAAAACTTATGCATTTATAAAGATGCCAAATTTAAAAGAATGAATTAGTCACAGAACTTTTGAACTCCAGTGATCTAGTTTACCTTCTCCTACACACGAACGAACAGAAGTCCAGTGAGGCTGGATGACTGCTTAGAACTGAAACTACACCCTCTTTGACCACAAAATTCCTCACCACTCACTATGCAACAAACTCATTGATTAAGGCCACGAGGGCCACAACACTGATCTGCCCCTTTCTGTTTCCGAGACCTTGTCAAAACAATTCCACTCAGGTTAATCAGCCCTCGTGTCAAGAATAGGCTGCTTTTCATTTTATGTCCTAGATGCTAATTCTGTATTATCTCAAAAGTCCTGCAGCAACATAGCTGGGTCCACATTTGTCTCTACTGCCATTTCTCAGCCCACAGATCACACTGCTTTCTGTTTCAATACCAGCCTTGGCCCTCTGCAGAGATGTGGCTTCTACACAAGTTTGACAGGTGAACAGAGGTCCAGTGAATAGGCCAAATGAGAACGAAAAGCTTACCTTTGACTCCTTGCTGACTAGTCATGGTCAGAGGCAAAGTATGTGTAGAATGGATGACATGTGTTCCCAATGCCTTGCCTGGCTGCTGGGAATGCTGATAAAGTTTAGGCATGCTGGCTCCATGGACAGGGATCTGACAGAGCTTTCCTGTGAAATTTGGCGGGCACTGACATTTGTCTCTTGAACTGCACTGGCCACCATTCATACATGGAAGATGGCAAATTACTGAAATGGAAAAGAGAAAAATGTGGACATTTGGTAGACTGTTCAAAGGCTGAGTAATAATCAATGAAACCCCCCCAAACACACAATCCATTATAACCATTATATACCCACTAACTTAGGAAATAATTAACTAAGGAGTAAATACCATGCCCAAGAGTCTCTATTACTTATTACCTTTTCTTTCCATTTTAAATATTTAATTCTCTAGTAGCTTGGGATTGTTCTCCTCCCAATAATAGAAGAGTTTCACAGGAAAAGAAAATCAAGTAGCCACTCAAGATTATTGTCTATCACAGTGCCATTTTAAGTATCTTTTGCATTCTGCACTTACTGTTGCCCTATTTAGTACAAGCCTATTATCTGCCTCCTGTATTAGCTGCTTCCTTAAATTATAATCTCTTTGGGAATAAGAGAGATTTCTGCTTATTAATCATTAAATCTGGGCCGGGGATTTGGCTCAGTGGTTCCGCTGCCTGCCTTGCAAGCACAAGGGCCCAAGTTCAATCCCTGGTACCAAAAAAAAAAAAAAAAATCATTAAATCCTTAGTACCTAGAACAAAGTCTGATATACAGGGACATTAAGTAAATATTTGCTCAAAGAACTGAAAACTGATAAAATATTACCTGCTCAGATTTTATTCTGTATAAGACAATGAATAAGTAATACTCATAATAAAAAGGTAGGATAGCTTCAAACACACTTTACAGGAATTTGCAATCTTCTTAAGAGTAAAGAGATTCCAATGAAATGGAGAAGCAACAGAGCAATTTCACTTTGGAATTAACTGGTTTAGAATATCAAAAGACAAGAGGACACATGGGTGAAAACTGAGTTTGACCTGTGGCTAAATTCATCTTATAGTCAGCCTCCTCTTCACTAAGGAATTCTCCCTATCAGCCTTTAAACATTATCAGATCTCTACCAACTCAACAACAAAACCAAAAGCCTCAAAATTCTATTTTCTTCCAGCTTCTGCCCTCTTTAAATCCTCTTGTCCACGACCACATTTTATAGAATTATCTGTTCACTTCTCAATGGACTATAATCTACCTTACAGCAGAATATGCCCTCCTTTTCTGAACCATCTTCTACACGGAAACTATTCTTACTAAGATCGTTAATGGACTCCATGTTGCTAAATCCAATGGACAGATTTCAATCTCTTGGTTTCCATTATATCTCACTCCTTCCTCCCTGCCTATTTCATCTTAATAGTCTTTGCAGACTGTGTTTTATACTTGTCCTTTAAATACTGACGTGCTTTATGGATTGGCTTTGAAATTGTCCTCACTAACTCTACACACTCTCCTATGATTTCATCCTGTCGTTATGATGAAGTGGCCCGAATTTATATTTCCTGGCCAAAGTGTTCTGCTGAGCTTCAAACTATTCCTGTTTATCTCCATGCACACATTCCGCAGGCATCCCAAACTCGAAACATCTAAAACTGAACGCACTGTCTCCCCTCTAAGACTTCTGCCCACCAAAAAAAAAAAGAGCCTCGGAGTCACTCTCTCACTTCACCTATTAGTAATGTAATATTTTATAATTTCATCATTAACTAGCTAAGTAATAATATATATTTTCATTCTCATCAACCCCCCAAAACAAGAACTATTTATACTCAAGTTATTAACAAAATGTATTGCTCAAAGTTTTCATTATCATAATTTCAATGTTATTTTCACTGATGTATCCGTAGTCATTTTTTATTTAATCACTATTCTAACTTCTTGGGGGAGAAGAAATTACTTTATTACTAAACCCACTTTCTTCAGTACTTTCCCGTACCTTTCTATACCTTTTCTAAACCTCTAGTCCTAGAAGTTCTCCCTTCTAAACATTCACAAAATACACTTTACTTCTTCCCCAACAAAGACTCCTTGTTTCTTCTTCAACCCCATTATTATCTTTTTTTTTTTTTTTTTTTTTTTGGTACTGGGGATTGAACTCAGGTCCTTGCGCTTGCAAGGCAGGCCACCGAACCGTTGAGCTAAATCCCCAGCCCTTCAACTCCATTATTTAAGAATCTCGCCTCAATTCCCACAATATTAATAACATCCAACTTCATTCTGTACCTTCTGTCCAGTCTAGAGCTTTGTCTATGCTGAGTCCTCTGCCATCCTTTCTAGTGGTCCCTGTAACTCCCGGACTTTCTATTTATCTCGTAGACTCTGTTTAATGCTCGCTTCACCTGGAAGCATTTCCAGGTGCTTCTCATTCATTCTTCCACAGAAGCTCTTCACCTATCACATCATACATCTTCCTGCATAACAACTGTCTGACCACCTCTCTGTATGTCCCACTTAGCTAGAGCTCTGTGAGGTCAAGAAATTTAATCTTCTTATATTTTACCTATATCATGTCACTCAGAATCTAGAAGAAATGCTTACGTCCCAAGAGAATACTAAAGGGAGGGACAGATTTCTACCTACCGCTTTGTCAAATACCATTCTAAGTAGCACTAAAAAAACTCAGTTCCTGCTCTTTGAGAATTGAAAAGCTAACTAAAGAAATTAAATCATACATTATAGCTAAAAATACAGATCAGCAAATAAATGATAATTGGAAAAATACAAAATACACCCTTTAGAGCTTCCGAGGAGAAAAGCCACTTCTACAAAGACAAAAGGACTTCATAGGTGAGAACATTCAGATAAGTATTAAAACTGCAAAATTCAGAATACTACGGAGTATATTCCAGTAAGACACTGTATAAAGGAGTCAAGATGGTGCATCTGGGAGGGGATGAGAGAATCTATCTTGCTGAAACTCTGGGCTCTGGAGGAAAGGAAAGGATCACATGAGAACTGAGTCATACAATTCAAGTTATTAAAGCCCCAATGAGTGGTTTAGATTTTATTCTGTAAGGAGTGAGTTGTTTTAGAGGCTCCAAGCAGGGGATTCAGCAAGATTGAAAGAGTGTTCCAGGAAGATTAGTCTGATGACAGCATGTGGGATTAGTCAAAAAGGAGAGTGACAAGGTGAGAAAGTCAGAAAACTATTATGACAACTGAAAGACAAACTGAAAAATACACAGATCAGGATGATGCCAGTAAGCACTGAAAAGAACAGGACGCAATATAATGCCGGGAGGAGGTAAGTAGAACTTGGCGATGGAACACAAGAGGAAAGGGGCAGGCCCGGGAAGAGGGGCAAACATGGGGCAGGAAATAAAGAGGTAGGAAAAAACTACCCAAGGGACAAACCCAAAAACTGTGTTCAATACCGATGCTGCACATCAAGTCCAAACTATCTGTGCTGGGCAGGGTCCGAGAGATCCTTTCATTGGTGCTGGTCTGCTGTGTGAGGTCTGAGATAAAAGAAGTCAAGGCTAACTCCAAGGTTAAATCAAGGAATTTATAATGACAAGTCCAATTCTGAACTGAATTTCTAGTCACAGCTTGACTACACTGGGTGGGCTCAATATACACTGGGTAAAAGCTAAGGGTGCCAGGCCCAGATTTAAATGTACTATGAATAATTTATACTTGGAATATAGGCACTTATCATTTTGGATGGCTCCACTATGCGTGAATTTTCAGTGACCACAGTATATGAGTAGTCACATCAGCTCTTTGGTCCACACATCACTCTGTAAGTGCGTCAGGATCAATGACCAATCAGATCACTTCTCCCAAGTCTGCCTGGGCCTGATCACACTGCACATCTGTTGCTCCACTTAGGCACAGACACCAAAGCAGGAAATTCTGTTCCTTCCTCGTCTCTGGGCATTTTACAACGCAGATAAAAGACAGTACAGATCAACAGGAAAGAAAGTGCAGCAAAGAAATCAAAGTGATTAACAGCAGAAGTAAAACTGAAAGGTGGTTGTGTTGCATACTTCACAACTCCGGATCATATTCCAACATTTTGTTCAAATTTAAGAGGGCACATGACAATGACAGTTCACTAAAAGGAAAAGATACTCCACTTCACAAGTTATACAGGAGAATGCAAACAATTTCAAATTATTCCTGATTAGTTTATGCAAAGACTTAAAACACTTCAATTCTTAGTTTCTAACGGTTTAAGTTATAAACCACAGAATACTGGGTTTAATGTTTTACATTGCTCTACGTATTTATAACCTATAATAAAATATTTTAAATATTCTGACATTTCCATTGATTACTAAGATGAAAAATGAGGACTACCTATACATTATACTAGAGTACTTTATAACTATCACCATCTTTTTTTTACAAGGAAACACGAATGAACTGACTTGTACTACATCAATGTCAAAAGAAGACCCTGAAATCTAACATGAACTTAGTTTTATTTAAATCTATCTTTAAACACTGAGATAGCATTCCTATCATTTTCAGATCTACAGTTATGTAAAGCGATGTCAATAATCCCTCAACTCCAATAACTGTCTTTCCAGTCATAAAGGAAACAGTTTCTGCTTGACTTATTTCAACCAATAAAAAGGCCACTATTCATAATCATTCGTGAATGAGAAATATCTACTGTCATATTCCAGCACTTTTTTCAAAAATCTCAACTACAATATAAAGCTCTTTGCCTTAGCTCATTAACTTCATGCAGAACCCTCTGTGGCAAGTCTTCTTTTTACACCTAAGTTGTCATTTACATCAAAGAAAATAAATTTAAAGCCAACCTGCAAACTTTTAAGATTTAGCTATGAATAGCTTCTTTCCATGCCATAAGTTCATACCCCTCTCAAAACATCGTTGAATGATACGTCTGCACCGCCAAGTTCTATAAAACCCTTTCAGGACATAAAGAGGAAAAAGAATACGTTGTCTTTCAGGCTGATTTGAGGAAGCTTGTAGTACGCTAGCTATAAGTCAGCTGTGGCACATATAGTTTAGAAAATCTAATTGGAACGTGTGACACAGAACGCTGGCTGAGAATTTCCATTCCTTGTCAGTGTGGCATTTCACTGGCCATTACTGTAATTCAATATACCGCATCCTACGGTCACCAGGGAACTATCACAAATAGCAAGAGGTATGTAGGCCTTCATCCT